CACAATAGGTCGGGTACGGGGACAAAAAGGGAGGAGGGAGAGGCTTCAAAAGCCTTAAAAAATGAGCCTTAAAAAATGAGGGGAGAGAGATGGAAAAGCTGTCCTAACAGAGCCTCCAAATACAACCCTCCCCTCTCCCTGCCCCCTACGGATGAGACATCCTAAACAGGTTAGGTCCTAACTATGGCCACAAATGGCAATAGCTGCGAAAGACAAAAAAATCCAGATCAGTTTTAGCAACAAATTATATATTTGCCTCCGCTGAAGTCCCGCGGATTACTCCGATGGAACTGGAACTAAACTCACTGAGCTAAAAGCCACTAAATATTCAAAATCCATGAATTTCAGATCAACCAGTACCAAAAATTTACAGTTTTCAAATCACAAAGTGCCTAAGATGTGTGTGAACAAAAAAAAAACAATCCCTCGAAAATATTGGTAGTTAGTGGTACCCACAATAAAAGATAAAGCAAATGGTGACCATTAAATACTTGAAACATTTGAACAATGGACACAAATCGAATTTTATGCACATTTTTTTTCGGATTTTACGAAATTGAATAATTGTGGAGACAGCCAGGAAAGGAAGGGGAGGAAGAGAAGGGGCAAGGAGCGATGCAGGGGGTTAATAATGCGTGTATCACAGCCACACAAAATATGCTTATTCATCATTTGCCTTGAAAAATCGACGTCCAAATTTCGAATCTCCCTTTCTTCTCTTGTGATTACCACCACCCTCTTCATCATCATCCGTAACCTCCGAGATAATTGGACCACTTGAAGCGGAACGGCCACCAGTTCTGAAAGAAAAATCATCACATTTTATCCTGTTATTCATCGCAAACTCCACAGAAATCCTTCCCATATTTCTTGTTTACATCGATTGATTTATGGAAGCACTGGTGACGGTAAGAACTGCTATTAGTAGAGAGTGTAAATTCGGCCGAACCGTCATATACCCAGCCTGTAACAGTGCCGTGTGAGAATGGTCTGAACCGTGGATTACTAAAATATGACGGAGTTCGGCCGCGAACATGCAGTGAAATCTTATTGACTCGGATTTGGGCTGGAAGTGCTGTACGCTTTTTTGGTAGAATAAAGACTTTTTGGTTTCCTGGCCTAACAGTGCTTAGGCGATACATGTGTATTACCAGTTAAGTGGTAAATGAAACGAGAGGGAAAGACTGAAGGATATGTATGAGAACATTTGAATAGAAATGTTTTGGTCCATTAACTCGCATACATTTATTTTTGGCAAAAAAAGCGCGGGCGAGAGGAATATTTGAAATATTCGGCTCAGGAACACCGGCAAGCTGACCACCAAACGAAGCAGCACTGGTCAAAACAGTTAAAAAATCATCAATTGCATATCTACGAAATTAGAAAAGAGAGGCACCTCTATGAAAAATGCTTCTTAAATTATTTTACTTCTCCCCTCAAACATCAAGCCCTGGAAAAAGCAGTCCCTACCTTCTTGTACGACCATAATCTGCATCATCCAGAACATCACCGTCATCCTCTTCATCCGGAAGAGTGACGATTGGTGCATTTGAACCACCGCTACCACCAATGCGCGATGTCTGAAATCATAATATACGCAATGTTGAGAAACTCATTTACATGACTAAGAATAAAAAATTTATTTTTTAGTTCGAAAATTTAAAAACTTAGTACTTTTTTCAACAAATAGTTAATATAAATTGCAATTAAAAAATTCAAAAAATTGCTCGAATAATTTAATTAAGATCCTCCGTTCAGTATTCGTTCTCTGTGAGAAGCGACAGAGCTCAGGAGTAATTTCGAGCATAATAACTGCAAAGAGCAACCACCCCCTGGCACAACTCTCAGGGTTACTTCTAAGCAAGATGATGACAAGGCTTTCTTGGTGGACATCGTACCAAATTATCACTAAAATGAAAGGACGGATCGTAGAGGGATTGGCTGTTTCACTAGCGGAACGGCCGAACTTTTGCTCTTTTGCACAGCAACAGCTTCGCAACGTTCCATCTCCAGCTTAGTTTTAACTATCTGACTTCGGCCGTTCCACAGTTTGATTTCTTTGGACCGTCGACTTAATATGATTCGGCTTTCTAACGGCCGCAATTTATCATTGCTTTATAAAAAAAACTATTTAAAGGGATATTCCCACGCAAGCGGCTCGTCGGTGGCGGATACCACACTCACTGCTAACTGTTACAGCGTATAGTCCCACAAAGTAAAATGGTCATTGCTCGAGTCCATGCAAATCTGGTCAATCCGCCCAGCATCTATCTCCACGTAACTCTAACAGTCGCTGTGGGTATATTTACCCAGATTCAGTTGTCACTGCGGGTAATGTCACGCAAAATCTGATCCACACCACAGCACCATCACATGTAAAGGCGGCGCATACTTCTACATGCACCAGACCCGCTCTCACACTTCCCCTGTGGTTGCTAGCCACACATATCCAATCGTCACAGAACGGGTATTTTCGCTGCAAACCTGGCCACTGCTGCTAGAACAACTCTCATGCGTATCCAAACGTCGCTTCCGGTCCGCCTACAAGGATATTTCACTGATTCAAAAGACACTTCAAAGAAAA